ATTTTTATGATGTAGGACGTTATTGATATCAGTTTATAATTCTTTGCAATTGCTTTACTGCCACCTTTGTGGAGTGGGGCCATGTCTTTTGCTTTTAGCGACTGTGGGACGACTCCTACGTCTATGTTCCCTCTCCATAGCATACATAAGGAAGGTGAAAGTGGTTTCTTGCAATTCTTGACGAAGTTGGAGTTCCACGAGTCTGGGCCTGGTGCAGAGTGCATGGGCATGTCTGTTAATTGCTTTTTGAAAGTTCTATGATGTTAAGATGTCAGAAATTTTGTAATTGTTGACAAGACTTTGGGACTTGTTCATAAAAAAAAATAATTTGGATTGTGAATCGTACGTCTGGTTAACGGCTCACTAAACCACAAAAGTCGTATTGAGACATCAGTATCTCACTCATCTCTCTTGCTGTCATCAGTGTAAGTCCCATCTTGTTTAAGCAAGGGCCCAATACTGAATGTGGTTTTTGCCTTGTTTTTGGTATATAAAGAAATTTGTTGAATTTCTTCTAATTTTATTTATGGCTTTTTATCTCCTATCTATCTGGGTCTTGTAAGATTCATTTAACATAAGTTCAGTATTTCCTATTTACCTGGTCAGTGTTTCTTACTGTATTACAGATAATCTAACCCACTTGAGAAGCTCTGTGATTCTTCCTCTTCACCCGTAAAGGAAGCATCTCTATCTAATTTATATCTTCTTATTTTTCCTAATGAAAATGTATAGCGATCACACTTCAACTGCCACAGAGTTGATCCTATCTAGAGACTGGTTTTGATCCTTGTTATTTAAGATATCTTCCCAACATGTTGCATTAAGGAGACGATTTATGCGATCCAAGTTGTTAAAGTTGAATTTGATGAAGGTGTCAATATAACCGTTTGTATTTTGCTGGTCAGGTCTCTTGTGTAAACAAGTCTGAACTTCAGGGTCCCTGTGTATACAAGTCTGAACTTCGTGGTCCCTCTGTATACAAGTCTGAACTTCAAGGTCCCTGTGTATACAAGTCTGAACTTCAAGATCCCTGTGTATACAAGTCTGAACTTCAAGGTCCCTGTGTATACAAGTCTGAACTTCAAGGTCCCTGTGTATACAAGTCTGAACTTCAGAGTCCCTGTGTATACAAGTCTGAGCTTTTGGGGGTCCCCGTGTATACAAGTCTGAACTTCAGGGGCCCTGTGTATACAATCTGAACTTCAGGGTCCCTGTGTATACAAGTCTGAACTTCAGGGTCCCTGTGTATACAAGTCTGAACTTCAGGGTCCCTGTGTATACAAGTCTGAACTTCAGGGTCCCTGTGTATACAAGATTGTGATCTGAATTATCAGTGTATTTTCCAGTTTTGTTGGTTCCAGTATTTGCTGTTACACTACTTGCTGTTCCAGTATTTGCTGTTACACTACTTGCTGTTCCAGTATTTGCTGTTTCAAATACTTTTCTGTTCCAGTATTTGCTGTTACACTACTTGCTGTTCCAGTATTTGCTGTTTTCACTACTTGCTGTTCCAGTATTTGCTGTTACACTACTTGCTGTTCCAGTATTTGCTGTTACACTACTTTTCTGTTCCAGTATTTGCTGTTACACTACTTGCTGTTCCAGTAATTTTCTGTTACACTACTTGCTGTTCCAGTATTTGCTGTTACACTACTTGCTGTTCCAGTATTTGCTGTTACACTACTTGCTGTTCCAGTATTTGCTGTTACACTACTTGCTGTTCCAGTATTTGCTGTTACACTACTTGCTGTTTTCCAAATATTTGCTGTTACACTACTTGCGTTCCATATTTGCTGTTACACAAATTGCTGTTCCAGTATTTGCTGTTACACTACTTGCTGTTCCAGTATTTGCTGTTACACTATTTGCTGTTCCAGTATTTGCTGTTACACTACTTGCTGTTCCAGTATTTGCTGTTACACTACTTGCTGTTCCAGTATTTGCTGTTACACTATTTGCTGTTCCAGTATTTGCTGTTACACTATTTGCTGTTCCAGTATTTGCTGTTACACTATTTGCTGTTCCAGTATTTGCTGTTACACTATTTGCTGTTCCAGTATTTGCTTTTTTACACTACTTGCTGTTCCGTATTTGCTGTTACACTATTTGCTGTTCCAGTATTTGCTGTTACACTATTTGCTGTTCCAGTATTTGCTGTTACACTACTTGCTGTTCCAGTATTTGCTGTTACACTACTTGCTGTTCCAGTATTTGCTGTTACACTATTTGCTGTTACACTATTTGCTGTTACACTATTTGCTGTTCCAGTATTTGCTGTTACACTATTTGCTGTTCCAATATTTGCTGTTCCAGTATTTGCTGTTACACTATTTGCTGTTACACTATTTGCTGTTCCAGTATTTGCTGTTACACTATTTGCTGTTCCAGTATTTACTGTTACGCTATTTGCTGTTCCAATATTTGCTGTTCTAGTATTTGCTGTTACACTATTTGCTGTTCCAATATTTGCTGTTCCAGTATTTGCTGTTACAAATATTTGCTGTTTTCCCCCTATTTGCTGTTCCAATATTTGCTGTTCCAGTATTTGCGTTACACTATTTGCTGTTCCAATATTTGCTGTTCCAATATTTGCTGTTCCAGTATTTGCTGTTCCAGTATTTGCTGTTCCAGTATTTGCTGTTCCAGTATTTGCTGACTTAAGGTATATTTATTACATAGCTTCAGCAGCTGAGTTCTGTGATAATTGTCCCCCCGGAGTTGCTGTTGTCTCCTGGGAAATTTTCTCTGCTGTTGTCTCCTGGAATTATCTCTGCTGTTTTTCTCCTGGAAATTATCTCTGCTGTTGTCTCCTGGAATTATCTCTGCTGTTGTCTCCTGGAATTATATCTGCTGTTGTCCCCTGGAATTATATCTGCGGGTTTTCTCCTGGAATTATCTCTGGCTGTTGTCTCCTGGAATTATCTCTGCTGTTGTCTTCCTGGAATTATATCTACTGTTGTCTCCCGGAATTATCTCTGCTGTTGTCTCCTGGGAAATTTTATCTGCTGTTGTCTCCTGGAATTTTATCTGCTGTTGTCTCCTGGAATATATCTGCTGTTGTCTCCTGGAATTATCTCTGCTGTTGTCTCCTGGAATTATCTCTGCTGTTTTCTCCTGGAATTAATTTTCTGCTGTTGTCTCCTGGAATTAATCTCTGCTGTTGTCTCCTGGAATTATCTCTGCTGTTGTCTCCCGGAATTATCTCTGCTGTTGTCTCCTGGAATTTATATCTGCTGTTGTCTCCTGGAATTATATTGCTGTTGTCTCCTGGAATTTTCTCTGCTGTTGTCTCCTGGAATTATCTCTCTGTTTGTCTCTGGAATTATATCTCTGTTGTCTCCTGGAATTATCTCTGCTTTGTCTCCTGGAATTATATCTGCTGTTGTCTCCTGAATTATATCTGCTGTTTGTCTCCTGGAATTTTATCTACTGTTGTCTCCTGGAATTATCTCTGCTGTTGTCTCCTTTGGGAAATTATATCTGCTGTTGTCTCCTGGAAATTTTATCTACTGTTGTCTCCTGAATTATCTCTGCTGTTTTCTCCTGGAATTATATCTGCTGTTGTCTCCTGGAATTATCTCTGCTGTTGTCTCCTGGAATTATATCTGCTGTTTTTCTCCTGGAATTAATTTGCTGTTGTCTCCTGGAATTATATCTGCTGTTTCTCCTGGAATTATCTCTGCTGTTGTCTCCTGGAATTATCTCTGCTGTTGTCTCCTGGAATTATATCTGCTGTTGTCTCCTGGAATTATCTCTGCTGTTGTCTCCTGGAATTATCTCTGCTGTTGTCTCCTGGAATTATATCTGCTGTTGTCTCCTGGAATTATATCTGCTGTTGTCTCCTGGAATTATATCTGCTGTTGTCTCCTGGAATTATCTCTGCTGTTGTCTCCTGGAATTATCTCTGCTGTTGTCTCCTGGAATTATCTCTGCCATAACATTATATATTTTCTCTCATTTTAAATGTCTTAAATTGAAATCACCAGCAACGAGATGTGTGGTGCTGGGGTTGGAAGATTTTCCAGACAGTAGTCAATTTGCAATAGCTGTTTCTTGAACCGTTAGGTTGTGGTGTCTGGCAGCTTGTATATAATCACAATGACAAGGTTTTGGTTTTCAGTCTTTGTTGCCAAAACTTCAGCTACATCATATGTGGTGTTTAGTAATTCAGAACAAAAATAGCGACTCTGTGATATGCAGGTCACATACACCCTTGTTACCTGGGATTCGTATTTCATTGTCAAGGTTATCTCTGGTGTTGGTCTCTGTGAGAGCCACACACATCGCATTCGACTCCATGAGGATTCCGCTGATAAAAGGTATTTTGTTGTTGGTGGATGGCTCCACATATCCTTCAGGTATCCTTCAGATATTCTCCAGGTATCCTCCAAATATCCTCACCCGTCTTATCCTACTCTTCATCTGTCATGTTCTTGTAAGATCATCACTCTTAACTCCCTCGCATTTTTTTTCTAAATCGAGCCTTTTATCATCAAAAGTGTCAAAGTCCTTTCTAAATTCAGCAGCTTTTCTTCTAAACTTAATTTAGAAGATGCAGGGACAGGGAGGAGAAAGGATTTTGACGTTTTCTCACATTTTATGTAATTATTGCTTTACCCTTGCTTTATTGCATTTCTTTTCCAGACTGTTGCTTGTGTATTACAAGCATCTCTATGTTCCAGCCTGTCTGCCTTCCGTGTCTGCCTTCCGTGTCTGCCTTCCGTGTCCATTGCGCTGCTGTGACTGCCCCTTTTTTTCATTCATTTTCTACTGCCTGCCTTTCTCTACGTCAACCTGAGACTTGTGTTTATCGTAGGCTTTTTTTCTAACTTCCAGTGCCTGCTTTTCTTTTTCTTTTTTGACTGGCACTTGTGCCAGGTAGCCAGGTGTAGTAGGCACAAGTGGTATGCCTCGTGACTGTGGTAGGCCGTGTTAGGCATGGGTTTTTAGAGATGGAATGACGCACGATAGTTGTTTTAGTTTATTGTTTGCGACCACAGGTGGCCTGGCTGAGGCAGCCTCTCCATCCACCCGCTCCAGACGGAGGGCACAGCGACGTGTGACTAGGAACGAATCACGCTACCACTCAGGTAAGTGCTACAGCCGTGACACCGAAGCTACACCCGCTACGATCAGGTAAGTTCTAGTTTGGTGTTTTTCGAGGCTGTGACACCGCCGCTACCATCAGGTAAACGCCAGATTGGTATTGTCATAGCTGCTACAACACTAGGATCAGGTAAACACCAGGTTGGTAGCGTTGTAGCTATAGTGTCCCTGCTACGATCAGGTAAATGTTGAGTTGGTATCGTTGTAGCTACAATACCACAGCTACCAGTGAATCTTACTACGGTTCTTGTTCATTACGATCTTTGTCCATTTCGACCCTTGTTCATTACGATCTGTGATTATTACATTCCTTGTTCATTACGACCCTTGTTCATGTTCAGGATGGATCAGGGTCCCTGACGAGGGATTCTGAGGGTCCTTCTCTATCTTTCTCAGCGTAGCCTCGTATTCAGGTTGGAAGGGGGGGAGGGGTCCCTAAGGATTCTGAACTGGTCAAGTCGTGGAGGCGAGTAGGTGAAGGTTGTAATGCAGAGAGATGTAATTAGTCTGCCAACAAAGTGTGCATTTAGGTCGTCAGAGAATGGGTGTGACTTGAACCCATGGTAGGTGAACCCATGGTACATGAACCCATGGTAGATGAACCCATGGTAGGTGAACGCATGGTACATGAACCCATGGTAGGTGAACCCATGGTAGGTGAACCCATGGTACATGAGGCCATGGTAGGTGAACCCATGGTACATGAACCCATGGTAGGTGAACCCATGGTACATGAACCCATGGTAGGTGAACCCATGGTACATGAGGCCATGGTAGGTGAACCCATGGTAGGTGAACCCATGGTACATGAACCCATGGTAGGTAAACCCATGGTACATGAGGCCATGGTAGGTGAACCCATGGTAGGTGAACCCATGGTACATGAACCCATGGTAGGTGAACCCATGGTAGGTGAACCCATGGTACATGAGGCCATGGTAGGTGAACCCATGGTAGGTGAACCCATGGTACATGAACCCATGGTAGGTGAACCCATGGTAGGTGAACCCATGGTACATGAACCCATGGTAGGTGAACCCATGGTAGGTGAACCCATGGTACATGAGGCCATGGTAGGTGAACCCATGGTAGGTGAACCCATGGTACATGAACCCATGGTAGGTGAACCCATGGTAGGTGAACCCATGGTACATGAACCCATGGTAGGTGAACCCATGGTACATGAACCCATGGCAGGTGTGTCGTAACCGTAAGGAGTAGCAATAATTGGGACGTGTGACAGTCAGGTTATTAGATGTAGAAGGTACAGGGGTCAGGATAGTCAAGCTCTAGCTCTCCAGTCTGAGAGCCAGAAGTCTTATCCAACATGGTCACAAACTTGATGTGGTCGAGATGTGACTGTACTCATCACTAATGATTTCTCTAACCTTGCACTTATCTTTTGTGTGTTCTGCAACTCACTAAGGACCAGCGAACGTTTGGTCAAGCTTTGCCATTGACGTCTTCCTGTTAAAATTTGTTAAGACAACTCTCGAGCTGGGTTTAATTTTGGTTGGCTTAGCTTGTGAATTTGTAGCTTTGGTAATTTCTGCTGCTGACATTCATTTTCTTTAGATACTTTAGCTGTTGTCTCTGTAGAATTGTCTGCAATAGGTACTAAATTACAGTATTGTATGAAATAATTTATCATCACAAACCATACCACGGGGGGATAGAACTCGCGGTCAGAGAGTCTCAAAATTCCAGACCGTCGCGTTAGCCACTGGACCAGCTAGCCACAATAAGATTCGACCAACTAGGTATGGTTTGTTTGCAATCGTGTCATTACAGTTTCGCGAGTCTTACCATCACACCCAAATGTTTATTGTTCTGGGTAAGAAAAGTTGGAAATTTTGTCAGTAAATCAAGTAATTCTCTCGCAGGTTCACTGGTAATAGAGTAAATTTCAATGGGATTTAGTCCTCCATTAATAATAATAATAATAATAATAATAATAATAATAATAATAATAATAATAATAATAATTAATAATATTTACTACCAGTACATGTACAAGGTATACCAGTACATGTACAAGGTATACCAGTACATGTACAAGGTATACCAGTACATGTACAAGGTATACCAGTACATGTACAAGGTATACCAGTACATGTACAAGGTATACCAGTACATGTACAAGGTATACCAGTACATGTACAAGGTATACCAGTACATGTACAAGGTATACCAGTACATGTACAAGGTATACCAGGACATGTACAAGGTATACCAGTACATGTACAAGGTATACAGATCATAGTTGACATCAGTGACATACTACTATATAGAAAGTTGCTTGTTATGCTGAGCATTTCCCGCAAATTAGGTCAGTTTTGTCCCAGGATGTGACCCACACTAGTCCACTAACACCCAGGATGTGACCCACACCAGTCCACTAACACCCAAGATGTGACTCACACCAGTCCACTAACACCCAGGATGTGACCCACACCAGTCCACTAACACCCAGGATGTGACCCACACCAGTCCACTAACACCCAGGATGTGACCCACACTAGTCCACTAACACCCAGGATGTGACCCACACCAGTCCACTAACACCCAGGATGTGACCCACACCAGTCCACTAACACCCAGGATGTGACCCACACCAGTCCACTAACACCCAGGATGTGACCCACACTAGTCGACTAACACCCAGGTACCCATTTTACTTATTGGGTAAATAGACAACAGGTGTCAAGAAACACACCCAGTGTTTCTACCCTGTCAGGGAATCGAACCCAGGCCATCGCCGTGTGAAGCGAGAGATTTAGCCACCAGAGCCCTTTATGTACCTTTATGTTACATGCAAACATTGCATTTCTTAACGGACTCTGAAATATCTGCTGCCATATGAGGCCAAAAATATTTCAGCCAGGTTTGATTTGCAGAATAGTCTATGTCAGGGTGAGCAACACCTGGTACATTGTGAACTAGCTCCAGGGTTACATTCACTAGTTACTTTGGAATAAGTGATGTACTCTTCAGCTAGGAATACCAAGATCAGTTATGTGATACAGCAAATCTTGGTTCATAACAAAGTCACTGATACAATCTGGTGGTTTCACAAAGACAGTTCGATCTTCCTTCAGTAGGAATCGAATTAACCCTAACATCCTCCGCACTGAACAGAGGGTCGACTACAATTGCACTAATGTGGTGAGATAGAGTATATATTACAACATTTGACTTGCCAGGCAGGTGTGCTCAAGTGTGGTTGAACTCCTTTATGGTCAACGACCATCACGCTAATTGTCCACTAGGCTATTCTTTTTCTGGAACAGTGAAATCAATGGAACATGGTCTTCAAGATATGGATTGGATACTGGTAGATGTCGAGGAAATGTTTCAGAAACCAAACTATACTTAATGCTTATTTACTGTATAATTATGTTCAACCAGGTTAAGACTGGACTACCAAACGCAACTGGATTATATTTGCTATCAGTCTTTTGTGCTTGGACCAGCATGTGTTGTTGGATACAAATATATTTTTAATATCTGGAAATGTTAATAAAGGAACAGAAGTTAGCAGTCTATCTTTTAATGTCTGTTATGCTCCTTCTTGATGGAAGATCTAAGTAGAAGGAACATCCTTCTTAAGCAACTCATGCTCCTTCTTGATGGAAGATCTAAGTAGAAGGAACATCCTTCTTAAGCAACTCATGCTCCTTCTTGATGGAAGATCTAAGTAGAAGGAACATCCTTCTTAAGCAACTCATACTCCTTCTTGATGGAAGATCTAAGTAGAAGGAACATCCTTCTTAAGCAACTCATGCTCCTTCTTGATGGAAGATCTAAGTAGAAGGAACATCCTTCTTAAGCAACTCATGCTCCTTCTTGATGGAAGATCTAAGTAGAAGGAACATCCTTCTTAAGCAACTCATGCTCCTTCTTGATGGAAGATCTAAGTAGAAGGAACATCCTTCTTAAGCAACTCATGCTCCTTCTTGATGGAAGATCTAAGTAGAAGGAACATCCTTCTTAAGCAACTCATGCTCCTTCTTGATGGAAGATCTAAGTAGAAGGAACATCCTTCTTGATGGAAGATCTAAGTAGAAGGAACATCCTTCTTGATGGAAGATCTAAGTAGAAGGAACATCCTTCTTGATGGAAGATCTAAGTAGAAGGAACATCCTTCTTGATGGAAGATCTAAGTAGAAGGAACATCCTTCTTGATGGAAGATCTAAGTAGAAGGAACATCCTTCTTGATGGAAGATCTAAGTAGAAGGAACATCCTTCTTAAGCAACTCATGCTCCTTCTTGATGGAAGATCTAAGTAGAAGGAACATCCTTCTTAAGCAACTCATGCTCCTTCTTGATGGAAGATCTAAGTAGAAGGAACATCCTTCTTGATGGAAGATCTAAGTAGAAGGAACATCCTTCTTGATGGAAGATCTAAGTAGAAGGAACATCCTTCTTGATGGAAGATCTAAGTAGAAGGAACATCCTTCTTGATGGAAGATCTAAGTAGAAGGAACATCCTTCTTAAGCAACTCATGCTCCTTCTTGATGGAAGATCTAAGTAGAAGGAACATCCTTCTTAAGCAACTCATGCTCCTTCTTGATGGAAGATCTAAGTAGAAGGAACATCCTTCTTGATGGAAGATCTAAGTAGAAGGAACATCCTTCTTGATGGAAGATCTAAGTAGAAGGAACATCCTTCTTGATGGAAGATCTAAGTAGAAGGAACATCCTTCTTGATGGAAGATCTAAGTAGAAGGAACATCCTTCTTGATGGAAGATCTAAGTAGAAGGAACATCCTTCTTGATGGAAGATCTAAGTAGAAGGAACATCCTTCTTAAGCAACTCATAGCAGCTGCAGTACAAGAAAAAAAATCAATAGAAGTTCTGTATAAACCTTCTAACCCCACAGATGATCTTACAGCATCAGTAGTTTTTGGGGTTAGAAAATTTTGTACAGCAGTTACTTTAGTCAGTCATAACCCCTTTAGGAATGACTGTGACCAAGAAAC